TAGCTAGCACTCCAAGGGTTCAGGGGATCTCGTAGTCGAGCAGTCTCGACTAGAGCTTTCTTACTTGTTTCTTATATATTTGAATAAAGTTTTCAATGAGAATCTATAAATTTGATTTGCTTAACATTTGTTTAATTGGTGCTTTGCTGTGTGTGGTTATGTGGGTGTGGGTGTGTGTATGTTTCTATATAAATTTGTTTGTTTGTATGTAATGTTTAACATTCTTCTGCTTTCTCTTTCTCTTTCTATTTCTATCTCTAACTCTATGTGCTAAAGTGCTGTTAATAAACTTGAAACATTTTGTTGCCGCTGTTAACATTTGTTTTCGTTTTTCGTTTTTATTTTTGTGTTTTTGTTCTTGTTGTTGTTGTTGATGGTGGTATTAAACCCATTGCATAATTTACAAATATCATCATATATAGCTAATATATATTTTATACAATATACATAAGATATATAGCACTTAAAACATAATATGGTTCTATTCCTCTCTGTATCGATTACTGTGACTGTCTGTGTCTGTGGCTATGGGCATCTCATGTATATATCATTTTGGACTAAGTTAATTGGCCTTCTCTATTCTTAATTTCACTTTTTTGCTTAAGCTAACGAAATAATAGTGGATACACAACGAGAAAGGGAACGGAAAGAGAAACGGAAACGGAAACAGGCACACAGTCACAACACAATCGAATAATCTGCCATACATAATATACAAAATTGTGATTGAAATACAATAGACTGCGAAGGTGTATGTGCGTGTGTATGTGTATACGTGTGAGTGTGACTAAGATTGCATTGAGCCGCTCGCTGTGATGTTGCTGGGATGGTTAGGTTGCAATATATATGTATATTTGTATATATATATATATATATCTATATAGATCTGATCAATGCGTCTGATGAGCCCGTAAGAAATCCTTCTAATCGCCGCTGTCCTCCCATTTGCGCTCCTCCATAATCCGATCAAAGCAGTCCGCGAGAAATGCGTGCTACAAAAACGTATAACAGTTAGCATAGATTGAGTATTATATTTATATATATTTACATATGGCGTATAGACTTTGACCCAACGTGGTGGCTTATCTGGACGATTGTACTGAAAGCAAAACGACATGGATTCCTCGTCGCTCTCGGAGCTAGTGATGCTATCCCATGTTAGCTCCACCATTTGCGCCTCCAAAGAGCCATCCTCGCGGCACGCGTGCAGGCGAAAACTTTTCATTCCTGCAAATACATTACAAAATTAGTTGAATGTTTCAAATATTACTAGTTGTTATTTAAATGGAATGAGTGTGAGCTATTATATTTAAACTAAATTTAAATTTAACTAGTTCAGATATTACAATTTCGAATCATTACGTCACTTCTCATTGAAATAGACCGTCTCTGATTTCGATTGGAATTTTCATTGAATGGGTTTATTATTCTTTTTGTTCTCTTTTAACTGCATTTCCTTGAACCACTTAAAGACGAAGCTTGACTATACTATGGAAAGCATCGCATAAGTATAGTATAAATTGTGAATCGTTGAGTCACTTGCGAACTGAAATTTGAATCTAAAAACTTCTCACGAATGCAGATCCACTTCAATTGCATGCGAACCAGTTCTGATTGTTGGAGATCTTTTCTTATGAACATGAATATACGAATAGTATGGACTATTCTACCATTGATCGGGGACTACATAATCTTATATGTTAGCTCAACTGAACTGTGAATAAAGCTCTTCTAATATTTATCTACGAGTACAATATTTATTATTGATTATATAGCTAAACTATAAATTAGCTAAACTCTTCTAGAATTCACCCAAAATGCCTATTGGTCCATTAGTGGACTTTGGGACTCACCCACGGCGGGCACGACGTGGCCCTCCTTGCGACTATCACAGGAGCAGTGAGGAAAGACAACATCACCATAGCCGGGCAGTGTGCGGGCCAAGGCGAGGTAGTCGTTGGCCTTTTTGGCATCCTGCAATGCTTTCAGCTCGTAGAGACGCCCCTCGGCACGTATATTGCCCCGATTCACCTCATCGACGGCCTGGTAGAAGATGAAGCGCGCCGCCTGCTCGCCATCGGGCAGGGTCAGCTCCTTGCTCACGGAGAAGAGCCAGCGACGCACGCAGAGGCATGTGGAGGATGCGGTGCTGTAGTTCTGCACATAGAGCTGATGCGGTATCTCGTGTGGCTGCAGCTTCCGCTCGAAATTGTATTCAACTATCTCGAACAGATAGAAATATTGTTGCGTATAGGCTGTAAGGTTGGCGCGCTGCACCAATATCTCCCACACCACCTGGGCATTGGATGACTTCTTAACCGATACGCTGGTCACCTCATGGTCGGGCAGCATCACTTTGATGTCCACCGGGGATGCAGATATATCATCCTCCGTATCGGTCAGGAAATCCTGCACTGCATCGCTCTCGGCTATCACGCGCACCGCGCACACCTTCTCCAAATACTGCTCGAGGCCCCGTCGACGCGTGTCCAGCTGCTGTTCGCTCAGCTGGAAGAGCCATTTGCCCGGCAGCTTCGGAAAGTTGAAGCCGCTGAACTCCTTGCGCAGCGCCGAGTGCAGGTTGGCAAACTCGCGATAGCGACGCGAGCACAGCTGCCTGCCGGCCATGTGGATATTGAAGACAATGTAGCGCTCCCCATTCCGATTCACAATGCTGTAGTCGGGTATGCTGGACAGAGATAGACAGATGATTAGACTGGCGTCGGGATCACTCTGGAGAGCAGACCGCAGCAACTACTCACCTGATGGGCAAGGAGCGCTTGTCCGAGTAGTCTATGTAGGAATAGCCAGTTTGATCCTCCTGCGGCTCCAGTCGGTCAGCCTCCTGCTGCGTAACCGATATGACCGTTAGGGTCAGGCAATCGCCGCCCGATTTGATGAGATCCACCACCTGTTTGTGTGTGGCGCCCTCCACGCTGACGCCATTGCTGCAATATACAGAGAGAGATAGAGAGTTTGTGAATAACTTTTGGATATTCCGTGGCTCCAATACCGCCTGCAGCGCTGCTCCATCGCGCTGAGCTGCGCATAGTGAATGCAATGAAAGGGCAACATTCTAAAGGATTCTCTGTGGCTTGTCCGCTCGTCAAGTGCACGCGTTTCTCAGGCGGCTGCTGCTCGACAGAGTCTGATTAATTAAAAGCAAAAACAAAGACTGAGCCACTGCTCTGAGGTGGACTGATGGAAGCTCTGATTCGCTCGCTTGGAGCACCTTCTGGCACTTGGCGCACTGATAAGACGCCGCTGTCAACAGACTTGCCATTCGGGTCAAGTTGAGTTTGTTTACGATAAACTCGAGCACATTCAATGGAGCTCCACTCTACGGCGCTACGGCTCTACGGCTCTCAATCGAAAACAAACAATTTATTGGGGCACGTCGACTATGCATGGATAAATCCTAGCGAGTTAATCAATTTGAAAACATATATATGCATATGTATATAGGAATTGAATTCTTGATGTAAAATTGCATAGAAAGCAATATTCCAGGGTTAAGGATATTACGAAAGGCGAAAGCAATAGAAACAGAATCCGAATGTGAAACAGAACTAGACTCAGAGGAGGGTTTCAGAAAGAGAAAGAGCAAAATTTAAATAAATTAAATCAGAGCGATATATACCGAAAAATATATATTGTGAGAGAGAAAGAAAGAGAGAGAGAGAAAAAAAAGCCACAAAAAAGAAACGAGAGATCTATAGAATAAATATACATAGATAACGAAATAGAAAGAGATACAGCATGTAAACAGACACAGAGAGAAAGAGCGAAAGTTAAGAAGAAAGAGAGGGAGACAGAGATAGACTCTGCAATAATGAGTGTGAAAGGGCAAAAGTATGGAATAGTAACTAATAGAAAGTAAAATAGAATAAGAAGGAGACTGAACAAGAAGAGGAAAGCAAAACAGAGAAAGAAAGGTAGATATTGAGAGAGACGAGGAATGGGCCCTTTGAGAGCAGGAGGAGAAGATATATAGAGAGGTAAAGAAGCCCAATAGGAAAGCACTAAGATAGTGAAAGGTAGAGAAATAGGAAGAGGGAAAGAGTGAAATAATAAAAATAATAAAGAGTAATAATAGCGAACATTTGCCGGGGCAACAGAGAATCGCAAGCGTCATTAATTCAATTTTCACGAAATAAACTCAATTTACATATATGTATGTGTGTAGCTAATAACAATTCCCATTTGTATGCTTGGGCAGCTCTATTAAATATTTGTTTATTATTCCAATTGACTTTACATTGCATTCAACGATTGTCCAATGAGTCTTACAAGTGCTTAATTACATTCGCTGCCAAACGCCAAATGGAATGACGATATACATATTTACGAATGAGTTAATTCAATTAGCACAAGCCAAACGCATGCAACATGAATGGTTTCAACAATTAAAAAAAAAAAAAGCAAAAATATTTCAGATAAAAATATTTGAAAAACTGAAAATTGATTAAAAAACTGATTCATTTGGCAGTGATTCAGCCTGCGAACTATGGAGCGAACTCTGCCTATCTCTGCTGCAGTCTGGCAACGCCAACGGCTGAGCCTGTGACGTCACAAGTGCCCACGAAACAAGCGCCGGCCAATTTGTCATTGTTAACGAAGCAAAAGTAGAGAAATCAAACAAGTTACAGTTGCACGTGCACTCGAGTGAGCGTGAACGACTGCAAGATACCCTGTTGCGTTAATATGTATGTACATTTGCAGATAACCCATATACCTCGCATTTGCATATTCAATGGGTGTGCCGCAAACTAAATAGGCAAATGCATTGAAATAGAGTAATTCAATTTATTAACACTTGCATGCAATGGCATTACATTAGATTAAATTGTATAATATATATAAAGATTTATACATATGATATACATGTATATGTATGTACATTTGTACACCAATTTTGTATGGCTTAGGCTGCAGCTTGCTTTTAGATTCGATCAAGTTTTTGCTTTTAGCCAATTCGATTGGCAGTTGCATTCGCCGCGCTGTCGCTTGTTGTTGGCTTCCTTTTGGCCACCTTTGGACACGACCAGGCGACACTTCTTAGACATTGTTGTTGTTGTGTGTGCATTCTGCGTGTGTGTGTGTGTGCGTCTTTCCGGTTTGACTTTTGCCACTGCAGCRCAAATAAATAAATCGCAGATATCATTGCTTTTCGTGCCGCCGCTGACGCACAGGGACAACAATGTTAATAACAACAGAAATAACAGCAATGCGACATGACTCACATTGAAGCATACCTATCATACACACACAAACACACACACAGATACATATATACATGCAGACATACGCCTGCTGTATGCCAAACTTACTAGATACTCTGTAATTCTCATAACAACCAAGTGCTGTCTTAAAGCAGCTCTCGAGCAACTGTCAAAGATCTGTTGAAGACACGACCACTTAGATACTCATTAAATTTGATCAGAGCTCTTGTTGAGAGTCGCTGTTAAGTTGACAAGCAGTCCAAGCGAAACTCCACTCTTTTCAGCAATTGCCAAGTACTGTTCCTAGTGGCATAATGCTCAATATGCAACTGTCAGATACCCTGTAATTTAATTTCAAGTCAGCAAGCAGTTAAACTCAGCTCTGGCTCTAAAGAGTTCTTCTCTCTGCTCGACTAGTCAGATACTCTGCAATTCAGTTTTAATCCATGACAATTAGAGCTCAGCTTAGGTCAATAAAAACTTTTGCTATACTCAGTTTCTTCTTCGAAATGAATCTTAAAATGATATTGAAGCTTACGTTAAGCTAATTACTGCTAAGAAAGATTCGAGTTAGTTAATGAATTATAGCATTTATTATAATACTATAATATTTAATTTCAATTTACAATTTAATGGCTGTTAGATTTTAGCCCACTTTACCTTTGGCAATGCCATATGCCATTATAAAAGTGGCTATTATATTTGACAGCTAATTAGTTGGTCTATGGCTAGTTATGTCACGTAAGCCACATAGCCATAGGCAACTATAGCCTTCCTTATGAACAAAGTTGGCATAGCTCAAGTGAAAGATCAAAGTCTGCAGGAGATCAGCAGAGATTGAGATTGGCGGAGAGACGTGACACTAAACGAAACCAGTTTCGGCAGCTAACAACTAGAATACATTTATTTGACAGAGCCACGTGAACATGTTCAAACAATTACGCAACTTTTGCAAATTGTAGATGGCGCTGCAATGCTAAACATGCATGCAAATATAAGAGCTCTCTTTGCAAACAGAATTTTCATTAAGAGAACAAACTTTTTACAGCTAAAATTTTAAGGGATTTGAAGATGGATTCGGGTTAGCCAATAATAAAAGAAGATGAATTATATAGATTTTTGTATACCCTGTAAATCGCTTCAATGTCTTGAGCGAGAAACCTATGAGGATAAAAGGCAAATGAAACTTATATATTTATTATTTCTATCCCTATCTATAATTCCATCCTATTTCTATCTTTATTTCTATCTCTATCTTTATCTCCATCACTATCTCTATCTCCATCTTTACCTCAGTTTGTACTGTAATTATATATGTTTCTCATATAAAACGTTTTGACGTTATCCATAATTATGATAATATTAATCATTTTGGTACAAATAAAAGGCTCATACAGGGTATCTCACAGGCAATCAGTTGCTCTTTGTATAGTATAAATTGTCTTATAGCTTCTTTATAGTACTTGAAATTCTATTGTACTTCCTATACTTTTTCACTTTTCTCCTCTTTTGCTCGTATTTCGCTCACAATTTGCACGAAAAGCTGTGCTTGATATCCTTCTAGCACTTTCTTCCAAATATCCCTTGACAAAAAGAAACAACTTTTGAACTGTTGAAAGTTATTTGAGCGTTTATGTAATTAAAAATCAAAGTTGAAAGTGTGCGAGGGGGGGGGGGGAGAAAGAATTAAAGAAATGTAGAGAGGAAGTAAAAGTATATTTATACAATATTCATTCCTGTTGAAGTTTTGTACGCACACAAAATACTTTTCTCGTAACACATTCAATAACCAATTTTATGCATATCTACCCGATTTAGTTTAGATGATGGAATATATACACCTCTCTTTATTTACACAATATTCATTTGTTTTGCAAATAAGAATATAAGAGAAATTAATGAAACAAAGAATAAACACAATTATTCGGTTGGCAAACAAAATTTTGTTTTTCAGAAATACCTAGGGTTAAGGATTACTATATTAAATTGTCTATTATCCAAGATTACGATTTACTAGTTAATCAATTGAGCCAACACAGCAACACAAGCAAATTAAATAAACAGAGCATAAAATTAACGTCAATCAAATTGATGTACTTCAACAACGTCCCGAGCAAATCTAACGCTCAATTGGCGGTGGTAAACAACATTTATAGTGGATTAGATACACATACTTTGTATATAAATAAAGGGGTTTTGTATATATAGGTTGAGTCTAAGTTCCTTAAATTGCAAGCCGAAACATGAAATTTGTATGTGAAAATAAATAATATTGAAGTTTTTAAAGAATATTCA